TGATGGGAGTTGATAGTCTAACATCTGATGGACACAAAGTTAGGGGAAAGTTGGTTTAATGCCCACATGGAAACAAAATGGCTTACATAATGACAGGCTGTGTATATAATTAAGATGCAGTTGTAGCTTGAAAGTTAAATGAAAACCGTTCCAGAAGTATGTCCGACTTCCAAAACATTTGAAAACCAAATGACAGCTTCTGATTGGCTGCAGGAAGGTCCTGCAAAGTGATGTGAAAGGTCCCTCTCTGTCTGAATCCCTAGAGAGCCTCTGCCAGCCAGGGTAGACTATACTGGTCTGGATGGGCAAATAGTCTGACCTGGTGCATGGCGTCTACTCGACATTCCCAAAGAATGGCTGCACTTACCTGCAAAGCGAGAGGCCCTCGCTATCTGAGACGTCAGCCGTGGTAGCAGCATACTGGAGGACCACTCTAACAGAAATCAAGACAGATTTTTTAAAGGGAAAAACAACCTTTATACGTTATAGGACTGTGTTCCTTCCTTCCTCAAATACACTGCCCATAACCACACACCATCAGAAATCATGGGCTGTAGCTCAGTTTCAGAGTATCTTCTTTGCATGCCTGCCATCTTTAGGAAGAGATGACGCAGTCCCCCTGTCTGAAACCCAGGACTTTCTGGCTGCCCATCGGCGTAGACTGGGTGGCACAATGAACCGATTGCGCACAAAGCAACTTCCTGTGTCCCAAGTTAAAAGTTAAGCACCTGAACAACATACTGAGTAGGCAGGCATGCAGGTTACAGAGCCAAAATCTTCCCCAACCCACTGCGATGTATGTATAGCACCTCTGTTTCAAAATTAGCAGGCAGATTTTGATAAACATCTCATTCCCTACCTTCTTTTTTGGAGATGTGTAAAGAGCTGCCCTATGCAGATGTGTTAAAGGTCACATGTTTAGGGAACTTTTTAATGTTTGATGTTTTATCGTGTTTTTAATATTCTGTTGGGAGCTGCCTAGAGTAGCTGGGGAAACCCAGCCAGATGAGCAGGGTATAAATAAAAAATTACTACTACTACTGTACAGAAAAGCTCCCAGAAACATCATTTCTGATGGTGAGTCCCCCACTGCCCAGTCAATCCCCCCAGAATTAGACCCTCCCTGCCGCAGGCTACCATAAACCACGTATCACTGGCGACCCCTTAATAAGGCAGGACCCCAACGTAGCCTCTCCCCGCCTCTTAAAAGCTTTTCCGTATATACAGTATTAACAGTCACTCTTATTAGCACTCTTATTACCATAGATAACACACTAATGTAGCCTCCAAAATGAATACACGGCTTCTATCAAAGTCAATCTTTCCCACTTCCGGGTGTAGGGAGAGAAGAAGCGCTGCTCATCAATCTTAACTTACCATCCACAAGGGCTTACCATCCCGTTCACGATGAAGGGGACTGTTTGAACGGGTAACTTCCGGCAGAGCAGCTCGGTCCCTCCCGGTCATCCGGAAGTTCCGGCGCAAAAAAAGTTCCTACATTTCTTTCCCCATTTGCCGCTGCTCCCCTCTGGCGGTAGTCCGTGGGATAGCAACGCAGCGAGCTTAATCCCCGCCCTGGCCACCAAGCAGGAACGCCGCTCAGGAGCAGGAGAGGTATTGCCAGTCCGGATCCTGCCGATGTTGCTAGACTCCAACACCCACCATCCCTGATTCCATTGGCTGTGCTGGCTGGAGGTGATGGGAACTGGAGTCCGTCAACATCTGGAGGGTCACAGGTTCCCCATCTCATGGCTAGATTGATGAAAGGTGTGACTCATTATACAGTGGTACCTCGGGTTACAGCATCTTAAAAAGACAGCATCTTAAAAAGCAGAGACATCACCTTGCCAAGAAAGGTCCGTATAGTTAAAGCTATGGTTTTCCCAGTAGTGATGTATGGAAGTGAGAGCTGGACCATAAAGAAGGCTGATCGCCGAAGAATTTATGCTTTTGAATTATGGTCTGGAGGAGACTCTTGAGAGTCCCATGGACTGCAAGAAGATCAAACCTCTCCATTCTGAAGGAAATCAGCCCTGAGTGCTCCCTGGAAGGACAGATCCTGAAGCTGAGGCTCCAATACTTTGGCCACCTCATGAGAAGAGAAGACTCCCTGGAAAAGACCCTGATGTTGGGAAAGATGGAGGGCACAAGGAGAAGGGGACGAGAGAGGACGAGATGGTTGGATAGTGTTGTCGAAGCTACCAGCATGAGTTTGACCAAACTGCGAGAGGCAGTGGAAGACAGGAGTGCCTGGCGTGCTCTGGTCCATTGGGTCACGAAGAGTCGGACACGACTAAACGACTAAACAACCTCGGGTTACAGATGCTTCAGGTTACAGACGCTTCAGGTTACAGACTCCGTTAACCCAGAAATAGTACCTTGGGTTAAGAACTTTGCTTAAGGATGAGAACAGAAATCATGCAGCGGTGCAGCGGCAGCAGAAGACCCCATTAGCTAAATTGGTACCTCAGGTTAAGAACAGTTTCGGTTTAAGAACGGACCTCCAGAACGAATTAAGTTCTTAACCTATGGTACCACTTTATAAAATGGACTTATGGGAAGATGTCCAGGGCTCCACTCAGCAGAAAGGTTTGTGTGTGTGCAGGCAGGCATGCTAAATGGCAGGGTTGACTGCTTGCAATGCTTTGAAGGAATCCCATTGAAAGATCACACTCCCCAGACCATTAACTCCACAAACTAGGGCTGCCATGCGTCCAGATTTTCCTGGACACTACCGGAATTTCAATGGCAGAATTGACATCTGGGGGGAATTTCTGAAAGGCAGCGTTTCGTCTTGGATCAACTTTCGGGGTGTCCTGGTTCTTACTTTTTGAAATATGGCAACCCTATAGTTACCAAACAGCACCACTGTATGAAGTTGTGGTTGTCCTGTTGCTTTGTTACTCAATGTTGTTTATGAAGAATGAACTTGAAATCGTCCAGCACATCCCCTGATTAAAGGAAATCTTGGATGGGCTGATTAAGGGCCTCTCCAGACTGGGCTTGTTTCCCCTTTACTCTTTCGCAATATGTCATTGACACAATAACAGTTCATTAGTGGGAGATCATCACAGGAAGGCTCAATCCCTGCCTCCAATTCGGTTAAATATTTTTGCAGTATTTTCAGTGGTCACTCTGGTCAATCACATGCACTAATAGCATGTAAGGGACGCGGGTGGCGCTGTGGGTTAAAGCCTCAGCGCCTAGGACTTGCCGATCGAAAGGTCGGCGGTTCGAATCCCTGCGGCGGGGTGCGCTCCTGTCGCTCGGTCCCAGCGCCTGCCAACCTAGCAGTTCGAAAGCACCCCCGGGTGCAAGTAGATAAATAGGGACCGCTTACTAGCGGGAAGGTAAACGGCGTTCCGTGTGCTGTGCTGGCTCGCCAGATGCAGCTTGTCACGCTGGCCACGTGACCCGGAAGTGTCTGCGGACAGCGCTGGCTCCCGGCCTATAGAGTGAGATGAGCGCACAACCCTAGAGTCTGGCAAGACTGGCCCGTAGGGGCAGGGGTACCTTTACCTTTACCTAATAGCATGTAAGGATTTCCCTACCGACCTGAATAGCAGCCAGTCTCCTGTAATGAGATAAATGTCCTTATTTCCTGCCTGAAATCAAATAAACTTCCTGGAGATTTGCTTCTGCCTGTTCTATAAAGAATACATAGAATGGTGGATGCCTAGCCTGCCTGCCTTATTTACCACTAAAACAACACAGGCCAAATGCCCTCTGGATGGTATGAGTATCATTTCCCCAATTTGTAAGAAGGGATAGGAATGACCCACAAAACTATTAGCCAATTAGATTGGGGTCAGAGGAGGACACGGTAACATTGACCAATGCTTTACTTGGAACCATATGATAAGGAACTATACTAAGAACAACAAGCTCTAGAACAAACATCCTAATTTAGATATCTCTGGGTGTATTGAGTGAAACCCTCTCTTGGCAGTGACATATGGAGGCAGTGAGAGTCAACACAAAGCAAACTATGGGAGCATTGATGAAGTTTTATTACAAAAAGGGAGGGCAGCTGATTGAACCCTAAAGATATTTGGTAGTAAAGTGCTTACGCAAATGCTCTATGGTGTTGAGATCTGGTGCTCCGAATCAAACCCCATTTAAATTTTGAATACTGTGCAGAAAACACTCTACCATCAGGAATATATATCAGAATATCTTCTTCATACAGAATCCAGGTGGCCAACAATTAAGGCAAGAGCGGACTGTGCTTAGTTAATGTGTATTAAAAGAATTGCTACCATGCCAATCATTCCCCCCCCACCTCTGCTGTACAATATAGAATTGAGTGATAAGCAACTCTGTAAAGCAGCTTGTCAAGATGTTTCAGACTATTATTATTTTCCAGAACTGAGCTCTGCATTGACTTTAAGTGTCAGCTACGGGGTTGGAACTTCTGGATAGAATTCAGAAGGGACCCGCAACTAATTAGAAACACCAGATTCCCCCCTTGGCATCTGCTCTTGAGAACAGAGCATTTTAGAGATAGTTATCTGTAGGGATAATCGCGGAGTGGGGAGTGAGGTCCGGAGGGAGCACACTCCCCACCAGCAGGCAGTCACAGTCTGCCTGCACATGTGTCCCTGGGGTGCGGGGTACACCCCCCCCCTCAGACAAGCCACGGCTGTTGGAACATCGTTCCCTCTGTCTGACCTTTTGCGGTCTCAGTAGTCGGCGGTGTCCTGTCTGTAACCTTTGTCTCCGAGACCTTTTGTCTCCTTCGTCATACACTGTGCAAGGGGAAAATGACACTGTGGAAACAGGTGCCAAAATAACTTTGTACCACCCCACGATCTCGGGACGGAAGATGTGTAAAGGTCACAGCCCAAAATGTATCTGCCTAGCTTGCATATTTGTCTCAATAAAAGGAGGCTCCACAGGGCTGGCCAGCAGCTTGCTTCAGCCCACCTGTGCGCAGCTCACATGATGATCAACACCTGTCTTGTGCCTTCACTTCAGTTATCTGACCAGACTCTCACCAATTTCCTTAAGAAATGTATTTATTGAGCTGCGTTTCCAAGTGATTCCCACTGCAGTTTGGGATGACTGCTACAAGGTCCTGTACGCAGATAGACTTTGTATTTGTGGTCAGCCTCAGGTGGAAGACATTCATTATCTGTTAGCCTGCACCTTATATAGACCCAATATCACGTTCACACAATCAAGCAGGTGCACCCTGACAGAAATGGTTCCATTTCTTTTGAGTGACAATAATAGCTTTGCAACACACAGAGTGGCCCTCTGTGCACTGGGTGCAAAATAAATAAGGAAAAATGAGATAGATGAAATCACTATAAGTTGTGGTGGTGATTCGGAGGTTTAATCTGAAATCAAGCTAGATTTAAGCTTTTTGGTATCTCTGCTATCTTGCCTCCGTTACATCATAGACGTTGGCCTATATTATAGATGTGTGTTCTGTATTATTTTATTAATACTATTGCTACAAGTTTGTCATGGCCTCCGGCCAGAACAATAAACTTATGGACTATATGTTGTAAATTGCTTTGTGATGCCTTGTGGGAAGCGACTAATAAATGATTTGTTTATTTTTTTGTATTTTTACTACCAGGAAAAGAGGAAATACACCAGTGGGATTTTCTGTCTTGAGTATCCAAATTAATCTGAGCCCTCTTGGACACTATTCACCACGACCTTGTTGGGAATACAATAGCAGGGATCATTCAGTTAGCAAGCTAAGTGTTCACTATTGACAGCCAGACGAACTCTCAGAGTGGAGGTGTTGCCGAGCAACTAATCAGATTGGCATGATCCTTGCTGAGGTAATCCATGCTTTGATAGGCTGAGACAGTTTTCTGATTGCTTGTGTGGTAGAATACTTGTCCCAGCTATGGATGCAGCCTGGCCTAACTCATACGGAGGGCTGGGAATGTCCCATTCCTGAAACCCTAGGGAGCTGCTGCCGGTCAGTGTAGACAATACAGAACTAAATGGACCAATGTCTGACGTGATATGAGGCCGCTTCCTATGTGGGAGGCCTGTCAAACAGCTACTAGCTACGATGGACGGAGGTGGATTTCGGACCACATTCAATATAGCTATTGCTATGTGTATGTTAAAAACACAGTGAGGCGGAACACCAGTGAGCAAATCAAAGTCCATTCCTGTTAAAATGTGTATATCCAGATTCAAGCTGTTGCTTCAGGTTCTTGGAATCCAGGAGCTACTGCTACCAGGGCAAAGTTTTCCCTTCCCAATCCAGAAAAGCACCATTGTCTTTTTCGCTGAGCTGAGCTAAAAGAGAGATGATCGATGGGACAGCATCTTGCACCTTCAATGGAGCCTAGGAGAACAGAGGAGAAGGGGAGAGGGAGAGAGAGAGAGAGAGAGAGAGAGAGAGAGAGAGGGCAAGCTTATTACAGCAGCAGTGTCCTTCAAAATAAAATAAAGGAGACCCACACATAAAACACATAACACTGGTCCTGAAAGACCCACATTGGCTCCCAGCATGTTTCCGGGCACAATTCAAAGTGTTGGTGCTGACCTTTAAAGCCCTAAATGGCCTCAGTTAGTAGTCCATTGGTAGCCAGTGTTAGAAACTCAGATATATAAGCTAGGCACCAAACGGCTCCTTAAACCAGGGTTACAGTCACCAAAACGGAATGCCTAGTTGCCATTTTGGGGCCAGGACAGTACTGGAAGGCAGTGGCAACTGGTAGGGTGGAAGGCAGGGAGACCAACAGTAGGTGGTGCTAGAGCCAGCAATAGGCAGAGCCAACTCATTCTAGTTTTGTCCCCGTCCTCCTTGCTGAATTCTACAAGGGGCAACAGCTGGCAGGCAGGGCCACCACCTAGACTGGTTGTAAGTTAGTAGGCAGGCGGGACCTGGGAGAGGGCAGACTGAGGCATTGGGGCCCCCTGCACCCCAATGTATCAGCCTCCATTGATAAATGGAAGGATAAATGGGCTGGATCAGTGCAAGGCAATGTTACGTGTTCATAAGACACTGATCAGTCTGCCCCTTTCCTTTTAAAAAATATATATATTATTAACGCACAGTGGAAAAAGCCATACATCAAAACTGAACAAAGCAGACGATTCGAAGCACCGCGCCACTCACCCCACGTCACTCCGGATCCCCGAAACCGGGTTTCCCTGCGAGTAGGGGAGGCGCAAAAGGTGCCCGCCAAATCCACGTTCACAGGCTTCTCCCGCCTGTGATTTTTACAGGTCTCCGCCTTCGCCATGGCGGTACAGACCCAAATTCCCACGGGGCAAATTCCTCCCGATCAGAGGAATTCAGCCATTACCGGAGGCACCTCCCCGGAAGTCCCATTTTGAAACAAACACCTGTTCTGGTTTATTCTTTATTTTTTTCAGACAAGTTTTATCTAACTCCGCATACTCAGTCGATTTTTGGATCCAATCTTGCGTAGATGGAAGTTTGTCAGATTTCCAGTTTTTTAAGGGAAAGGGAATTTGTGTCTTTGGCACACAGCACCCTGCAAACAAGCTCAAGGAATGGTGACGTAAAGCATCCACACTCACCCCACCCCACCCCACCCCACCCCAAACATAAAAAACGGAGGGAATTTTCCGTACACCCATGTACAGCCCACGTCTTCAGCGCCTGCATGTACTGGGTGTCGGGAGCACCTTCTCTGACCTTTCGATCACAGGAATGCAGGAACAGAACACAGCATTCCCGAGGAATAGGTTCTGGTGCTGTGGACTCACATTTGCTCATGAGAGCACCTCAAATGCAGCAGAGTAACGGAAGCAAAGCTGCGGAGGTTTTGTTGCATACCTAATTTATTTCTTCTAATTAAACAAATAAAAGAACATAACAAACGTGGGATGCGGGTGGAGCTGTGGGCTAAACCACAGAGCCTAGGACTTGCCGATCAGAAGGTCGGTGGTTCGAATCCCTGCGACAGGGTGAGCGCCCGTTGCTCAGTCCCTGCTCCTGCCAACCTAGCAGTTTGAAGGCATGTCAAAGTGCAAGTAGATAAATAGGTACCGCTCTGGCGGGAAGGTAAATGGCGTTTCCGTGTGCTCATCTGATTCACCAGAAGCGACTTAGTCATGCTGGCCACATGACCCGGAAGCTGTACACTGGCTCCCTTGGCCAATAAAGCGAGATGAGCGCCACAACTCCAGAGTCGGCCACGACTGGACCTAATGGTCAGGGGTCCCTTTACCTTTAACAAACGTGTACGAGAGAAACAGCTCTCTCATACTGCCATCTTGTCTCTAGACAAGATGTTTAGGGAAGCTTTTAATGTTTAATATATTATTGTATTTTGATATTCTGTTGGAAGCCGCCCACAGTGGCTGAGGAAACCCAGGCAGATGGGAGGGGTATAAATAATAAATTTATTATTATTATTATTATTGACAGATCAAAGAAAAAGCCACACAGTACTGGACACGGAAGTCTGGAAGAGTAGCTTTCGCCCCCTCCTTTCTTTCTCACAAGGAACTGGTGATCCTTGCAATGTGGGGGATGAAAATACTGACAGGAACAACAACACATGGCGGGCAAAGAACTTGCTTAAACAAGAGTGGGGGAGAAAAGATTGACTTTACTGACCTTTGTCCCTCCCATATCCGTTTGGATCCAGCCTGGGTGGAGGGCGATGCAGAGGATCCCTTCCAATTTCAGGTCTGTAGCAAGGCACTTTGTGAGCATGTTTAGTGCCGCCTTGGAGGGAGGTCAGGGAGAGAAGTGGAAAGAGTTAGATGACATGAGGCTTTTAACCTCTGGGTGGTGGGTTTGAGCCCCACGTCGGGCAAAAGATTCCTCCATTGCAGGGGGCTGAATCATCTCGACAATTCTATGAAAACTCATCTTTTTTCTTTTCGCAAAATTATTTTATTATTGAGCAATGAACCACTTTTAAGCAACAAACAACACGTCAGTAATATCAGGAATTCGAAACATCGGGTCAAAGCCAATGCTTGTCCTACTCAAAGCAGACTCATTGGAGTCAATAGACCTAACTTTGTCACGTTCATTAATTTGAATGAGTCTTCTGAGTAAAACTTCATTGAACGCAACTCGTAGGAGTTCCCACTGATAATTACTCTTTTTTTTAATTTCTAATAATAGCAATTGTGCATTAACACTCCCCCTACACACATATCTTGATATAGAGTTATAGCTAAATTTTGCTCAGATAAGACACATCCAAATTAATGAAGCTAACTTAAATCCTGCCCATTAATTTGAATGGATCTACTCTGCCTAAGACTAATGTTGGCAGCAGTCCACCGCCTTTTAAAAAGAACTCAAAATAAATTATTATAAGGAGGTTTCAGCTAATGTGAACCAATTCACTCTCTGCCAACTTTTATCCCAAACTATCAAGGTCAGACAGAGTGTTTTCATTTAAAATATAAATAAAACAAAGGAAGAAAGCATAGTTTCAAGTGGCGACTACTGATCTCTTCCTAGAGATAAATTCTATCATAATTTGGATGGAATTTGGTATCCCAATGAAGTCCTTGCATCAGCATCAGCAATCTTCTATCAATCCTTATCTCAAGGACAATTATGACTGAGTGAATCAAAAGCTGCTGAAAAATCAGGATCGATTGACGGATTGCATTTTTATCTCGCTTTTCATTCCAATGAATCCCAAAGCGGCTTAAAAACAATAAACAAAAGCAGCATAATAAACCATAACAGAACATCACAAATACAGCACAAATCATATAATGTATCATATCTAGAAGATACAGATGTGATGAAACCCCAAGACCATACTTTAGCAACTTGGGGGCAGGTATTATCCAATAATTAAACCCCTTCATATTAATGTCAATCTGGTCCAAGCCAATCCTGGTTTCTTGGAGGCCGGTCATGTAATATTTCTTCAAAGGGGTAACCACCTCCTTATTAGTTATTTTGTTAGCTAGTCCTGCCACATTCCAAGAGATTTACCTACAATAAAAGTCTGAAGTAATGCCCCTCCATAAAAGGCTGAAAAATACTGGGGATTTCTCTCTGACCCTAAAATCTCACGTTGCGTCAAGAGGCGATAAGAGCGCTCAGCTCTTTGTCCTCTATTCTCTTCATACGTATTTTAATCCAGCTCTTAAATTTGCAGAGGGTGTGCTGCAACCTTCCTCAACTAATACAATATCATTCCTGTCAAGGTAACACCTAATATTTGAATCCCTGGCTGGCTAGGGAATGTTAGGTGTTTGTTTGTAGCTGACTCACTGAGAATGCATCAGGAGGAATGATTTTGTTTGCTTCTGAAAATCTCATCTCCACCCAAGAAGAACTAAAAAACCCTTAATGGCCCTTTGGAGATTTAAAGCGGGTGTCAAATTAGATCTGTTTGTTGGGAACCCAGCTCTGCAGATATAACCAGAGGGATGATATCAACTGGAACCACTATTTGGAAATCAACTTTTACTGGCTGGGCAGAGGATATCAAGCTATGGAAATACGCTAGCTCTTTGGAATTTGAGATGCTCTTTTGTGCAAACCCAGTCACCTCTGTATCCTGGTTCACCACCTTCTACCTTGCCGACTTCCTTTCTTATTGTGCAGTTAGGTTCCCATCCCATCAAGAACATAAGAAGAGCCTGTTGGATGAGCTCAATGGCCCATGGAGTCCTGTATCCTCTTCTCTCACAGTGGCCAAACAGATGTACGTGGGAAACCCACAAGCAGGATTTGAACACCAGAGCCCTCTCCCCTCCTGTGGTTCACAGCAACTGCCAGCAGAGGGACGAGCCAGGAGGGAACCAGTCCAGGTTCTCTAGGGAAGGAGTTCCAAAGTCTGGGAGCCACCACCAAGAAGGCCCTCTCCCGTATCCCCACCAAGGGTGCCTGTGAGGGTGGCAGGAAAGAGAGAAGGGCCTCCCCCTGAAGATCTCAGGCTGAGGTTTCAGATAGACTGAGTTGTATCTAAAGCTACCTTCAGAGCTATATTCCAATTTTCTTCCCAGTCAATAGGTGAAATAGGCCCAGTTACCTCCTGCAGATTAATAAGGTCTGTCCCATCTCTTCCTGGAAATGGTGGGGACTGAACCCAGGGACCTTCTGCATGCAAAGCAGATGCTCCAACACTGAGTTAGAGCCCATTCATTCTAAGGATTCATGGTTTGGAGCACTGCTGAGTAGATCCATTAACTTCAAGAGGTGTACACCAAGTTAGGAGTAGCATCAGATGCAACTCGTCACTTTGAAAGTTATCTTACATCTCTTCCCACTCCCCCCCCCCGCCTGCCCCCTCTCCATTCTCCCAATATAATTACCTACTAAGAACACTCACCTTCGAAATTCTGTAAGGGTATACCGCGTGGTAAATGTCATTGGATTTTGCAAGCCCTATGGAGGCCGAGATGGATGACATGTTGACAATTGCAGCACGGTGACACCCCATGGTGGAACTTTGCTTGGCAGCTGTCTTCAAAAGCGGCAGAAATGCCTAAAGGAATTTATTTATTTTTAACGGGAAATCGGAAGGTGATGTCTGCACAGGCAACGTATTTTTTAAAAGAGCACGCAGTTAGCATTTCCTTAAAACAAATAAAAACATAACCTTTCAGCAAGTTAGCAAATCCTACAAAAGGGCGGATACACTCTGCAAGTAAAAGCAAATTTGCATATCCTCTTATTTCCTATCTCCTGAGAAATCTTATTTGGAAATTCTTCCAGCTTCTGAGATTCAGGCAGTTCTGAGACTCAAACCGATCCTCCGGGTCCAAAGGAATAGAAACTTGATTTATTTATCTATATATTAATTTATTTGGGGGGGGATTGAACATAAGGACTAGAAACTTGATTTAAAAAAAAAACGATCAAAAGTTGTGATTTCTCACTGAAGTGAAATTCTGCAGCCAATTTCACAGTGGAGTGTTTCTCATGACGACCTGTGTGAAACAGAGCTGCAATGAGGAGTTCCCAAGACATCAATGACTGACTGCCTCTCTGCTAGAGCCCCAGAGTCCATCTACAGGAGCCAGGTGTGGAGGCAGATGCAAAATCTGTGCCAAGCCAATATGAGTGATACGCTGGGTACAGACTGAAGTGCAACTTTTATCTGAGCTCTCGTGGATAAGGAATTCTAGGAACATACTTTAGATGGGTGGGGTGGGGGAGGGAAAACAATAATTGTTTAGAGCGACTTGGGAGTCAGAAACTCTTGCCAGTCACAGACATGTAGGACATGTGTTGCACCAGATCAGACCATGTGTTGCACCAACACAGGACATGTGTTGCACCAGATCAGATGCCAGATTTACCGACTTTGTTCTTACCTTGGAGAGCATTAGCTGGGCAACAGTGTTGGTCTCGAAGGTCCTGAGCATGGCTTCCGTGGTGACGTCTTCCAGAGAACCTAAGACATTGATGCCAGCGTTGTTGATGAGGCAGTTCAGCCCTTTCTCCCCAACAATGTCTTCCACCTTCTTGACCGTTTCCTTGATGCTGTTTTCGGAAACCACATCTGGATTCGAGAACACAGGAGATGATGATGCATAATAGAGAGAGTCAGACTGCCGGTCTATCTAGCCCAATACTGTCTACATTGACTGGCAGCAGCTCTCCGACAGACAGTAGACATCCCCAGCCCTACCTGGGGACTGAACCTGTCAACTTCTGCATAGCTCTCTCACCGAGGTGTCCAGAGTGGGTGGGGAGGAGAGAGCAGTTAAGGAGTAACTGCTCCAGAACAATGATCCATAGGTCAGCCTTGTCTATAGTGACTGGCAACTAGGGATGTCAGAGAATTCTGCAGAGAAACAAAGTAGAATTTGCTGCAGTTCACATGCTGGTCTGTGTGCAAGAATGGAAATCGGTCAACGATTGGGATTTGTTCTCTTCGTTGTTGTTCTTTGCATTTGCAAATGATGTGCAATTCATGGCCTTTCTCCCACGGTTGTTGTAACCAATGTTTTACTCAAAGTAGACCCATGGAAATTAATGGGCCCGTCTTAATTATGCTCAGAACATAAGAAGACTCTGCTGGATCAGGCCAGGTGTTCATCGAGTCCAGAGCCCTGTTCTCATAGTAGCCAACCAGCTGACCCCAAGGGAAGTCCACAAGCAGGACCCAACTTACAGCCATCCAAGTTGGTGGCAGGCCATCGTTGCCTCCAGTGGCAGTGAGTTCCATAGCTAAACTATGCACTGCATGAAGTAATATATTCTTTCACCTGTCCTAAACCTTCCAGCTTTCAGCCTCATTGGACGTCTCCAAGTTCTCGTGTTACGAGAGAAGAAGAAAAGACATGCACTCTTTCTGAATAAGGGAGGAAAACATTTCCTTATCCACTATCTCCATGCCATTTTGTAAATTTCAGTCCTGCCACCTCTGATTCACCTTTCTCTCAATTAGAAAATCCCATACATCCTAACAGGGGAGTCGTCACATCCCCTCGTCCTTCAGTTTCAACAGGTTTACTCTGAGCAGGACTAACACTGGATACAATCCTATTTCTTTCGGTGTCTCTCAAACTCGGGTCCCCCCAACTGTTGTTGGACTATAACTCCCATCATCCCTAGCTGGTAGGCCCAGTGGTCAGGGATGATGGGAGTTGTAGTCCAGTAACAGCTGGAGACCCAAGCTTCAGATATTTTCATGGGGGCCGTCAGGCGCAGAGCAGAAGAGGAAACTTTTTGCTTACCAAGCGGCAAAACCCTGATGTTGCTGTACTGCTTGCAGAGTTTCTGTAGCTCCTAGAAAGAAAGAACAAGACCAACATTTGTGGACATCCCATCTGCCTAAATGAATTTTAATGGCAGCCCTCGCCAACCTTCCTCCACCCAAAGGATAGCAATAGTATTATTATTATTATTTGTCTTCTTTATTAAATGTATTTACCGCCCTTCTTCCATAGATCCCTGGCAGGTTCACAACATAAAAATACAATATAAAAACCACAAAATACATAATAGAAATGCTTCTTTAATCTCCTCTCTCCTCCTCTTCTTTTGCTTCCTCTCTCTTTCGGTCTCTTTTCCCCCCTTTGCTTCTTTCTGCCTTTGCTCTTTGCTATATTAAGCAGCTGTTTTAATTTCAGCGTATTGTAAAAGTACACTTTGTAATGGGTGCGAACGTCTGTATATTTATGAACAAGTATCAATAAATAAAAAAGGAAAAACAAACAAAAATTAAAGGATGAAAAAGGAAAACCCTAAAGCAGGCATGTGGAATGAGCCCAGTTGCAAAGATCTGAAAAATAATATGAGTCCAAGTGAAGAATTGTAGTGTTATCAGAGCATAAAGTCTCATTCCAGGATTGCCAAGTTTGGGATGAGACTTGTCTTGAAAAGGACGGTTTTGGGGTATATGTCATAAACACAGGCAACTCTCATTAATTAAAGGTGGTTAAGAGCGGTGGACTCGTAATCTGGTGAACCGGGTTTGATTCCCTGCTCCTTCACATGCAGCTGCTGGCTGACCTTGGGCCAGTCACACTTCTCTCAGCCCCACTCACCTCACAGAGTGTTTGTTGTGGGGGAGGAAGGGAAAGGAGAATGTTAGCCACTGTGAGACTCCTTAGGGTAGTGATAAAGCGGGATATCAAATCCAAACTACTACTACTTCTTCATAAAAGAGCACCAATCCAACCCTGCAGAAAGTAACGCTGAAAGCGCCCCATGAGATAAGCGGCATTAACCAAAGGGGGTGACTCACCTGGGGGTGGGTTTTCTGGGCTGGCAGGCTGGACCCCCTCGATGCTCAGCCAGTGGGCTGCGAGAGAAGGGGGGAACCAATAATCCCCCCACCCACCCACAACACATTTCAAAGGGCATTGGTTGTTAATCAGCTGAAGGCTTGGTTGAAGAGGGGCATTTTATAAGGAAGGTGCCAAGTAAGCCTTCCTGGGGAGAGCATTCCACAAGCAGGGAGCCACCACAGAAAAGGCCCATTCTCATGCTGCCACCCTCTGCACCTCTCATGGCAGAGGCACACAGGAAAGGGCCTTAGATGAAGATCTCAGGTTTCATATGGAGAGAGGCGGTACTTATGGTATTGCAATCCTGACCATAATGCAATAGGACCCCCAATATGCTGCATGTCTGTATGGGGCAGCGGCAAGGGACTGTAACCGCCTGCCTCTCAATTTTTATCTGCGTCTGAATCCAGCCTAGGCAAGACCGTTCTTCTCCTGTCGATGGTTTAACTGGGCTGTAGCCTTTCCACCCCTTAGGGAGAATTGTACACCCCTAATAGTTAGCTTTGTGGGACGCGGGTGACGCTGTGGGTAAAACCTCAGTGCCTAGGACTTGCCGATTGCATGGTCGGCGGTTCGAATCCCCACGGTGGGGTGCGCTCCCGTCATTCGGTCCCAGCGCCTGCCAACCTAGCAGTTCGAAAGCACCCCCGGGTGCAAGTAGATAAATAGGAACCGCTTACTAGCGGGAAGGTAAACGGCGTTGTAACGCTGGCTTGTCACGCTGGCCACGTGACCCGGAAGTGTCTGCGGACAGCGCTGGCTCCCGGCCTATAGAGTGAGATGAGCGCACAACCCTAGAGTCTGGCAAGACTGGCCCGTACGGGCAGGGGTACCTTTACCTTTACTAATAGTTAGCTAGGGACGCAGGTGGCGCCGTGGTCTAAACCACTGACCCTCTTGGGCTTGCCGATCAGAAGGTCGGCGGTTCGAATCCCCACGACGGGGTGAGCTCCCGTTGCTCGGTCCCTGCTCCTGTCAACCTAGCAGTTTGAAAGCACGCCAAAAAGTGCAAGGAGATACAGTGGTACCTCAGGTTACATACGCTTCAGGTTACATACTCCGCTAACCCAGAAATAGTACCTCGGGTTAAGAACTTTGCTTCAGGATAAGAACAGAAATCGTGCTCCGGCGGTGCAGCGGCAGCAGGAGGCCCCATTAGCTAAAGTGGTGCTTCAGGTTAAGAACAGTTTCAGGTTAAGAACGGACCTCCAGAATGAATTAAGTACTTAACCTGAGGTACCACTATAAATGGGTATCGCTCCGGCGGGAAGGTAAACGGCATTTCTGTGCACTGCTCTGGTTTGGGTGTTTTGTTGTGCCAGAAGTGACTTAGTCATGTTGGCCACATGACCCGGAAAAGCTGTCTGTGGACAATCACCGGCTCCCTCGGCCTGTAAAGTGAGATGAGTGCCGCAACCCCAGAATCGTCTGTGACTGAACTTAACCATCAGGGGTCCTTTACTTTTAATATTTAGCTAACTGGTACATGTAGTACAATTTAGTGTACTAAGAGAGTGTGGAACAAGGCAGGTCAAGGTAAAAAGAATCCCAACTTCACAAACACACTGAGCTGGCAAGGACTGACCAGGAAACAAACTTTGGGATTGCAGTACGTACGTTAATGAAAGCAGAAATCGTTGTGCTTTGTGATGAAATACTACCCTAACTAGCTATTTGGATTCCACACTTTCCTCCTAGGCAATAAATGCCAATTACAATGTTAACATCTACTCTGCAAGTCCTTCTCTCTACTGCAAGTCATTTTTCCTGAGTTTGGAAATCTGAGAGTCTCTCCCAGCCCCACCTGGAGACGTAAGCGATTGAACCTGGGACCTTTGGAAGCAAAGCTACTGTTCTACCACACTGAATGGCAGCTCTTCCCAATGGAATTCACAGCCCAGGGAACTAGATGGTGCTGCTCAATCACAAGAGCGCCTCTGAGGATGCACAGAGTGTGCTTTCCTCCCTGCAAAATAGACAGAGACAGAACTCATCTGCTCAGCAGTGAGGTGCAAAAAAGAATCTCTCCAAACCGCGGGGAACGGGGATTAAAATAGCAGAGAGGGTTCATTGTACTAAGCGAGTGTAGAGAGAGGTAAATTGGAGAGAAATTATTCCAACTGGTGACTTGGGAGGGACTGGCCATGAAACAGTTCCTGAGATCATTGTTTCTCCCAGCAGTTGTTGGACTACAACCCCCATCATCCCTGACCACTGGTCCTGCTAGCTAGGGATGGTGGGAGTTGTAGTCCAACAACAGCTGGAGACCCAAGTTTGAGAAACACCGGCTTAGGTTGATGAAAGCAGGTGCCTCCAGGAACCTGTTCACCAAAGATTCATTCTGATCTGCCTGTGGGAAGATTAGATGATGTTGGCATGTTGAGCATTCATCCCCACTTGTTTCTGGGAAGCCTGGACGATGTTGCCTCAAAGCAACCAATAGTCTGTTAGCTCAAAAAGTCCGACCTTTTGATTGACCTGCCAATCAAAAAAACTGAGGCGGAAGTAGCCAAAGACTATATTATCGGTGAGTCCTGGAAGATTTTCTCCCTGTCTTGCAGGCCTGTTCAGCCTAGCTGGGGGGGGGGGGGCTGGACAGACTCCAGCTACAAAAGCCTCTTGGTCTGGGGTGTTTGCATTTTTTTTTTGTTGGGGGGGGATGTTGCTGTGTTGTTGGTTTTTTTGCATCTTTATTTTAGATCTTCTTGTGATTTATGTTGAAATTGTTCAGATTGGTTGTGTATTTTAAAATGTTTTATTAACAGTTTATGACTGCTTTTGTTATGTCATAATTATGTATTTTTTTTCATGCTGCAAACCACCTTGAGCATGGTCTGAACTTTGGAAAGGCGGCAACAAATAAAAAGTACAAATAAAAGTACGTATCTATGGACATAATCCACTTTAACTGTGCAGTCCTGAATCTGCCGGTATGCCAATTAAATCTCACTCAGAAAGAGCAATGGCAACCATCTGCATTGGGTAGAGTTAAAGAAAGAGATTTAAAATAAAACTGGCAAGGTCATCTAGCCCCTATATAAATCCACGATGCAACCACACTCACTGGAAGACTGACTGGTTTTGTTCCCACCCACTTATCCAAGAGAGCCGGATGATAATTTTATGAAAAAAAATCTGTGTGGTTTTCCTTAGCATCTATGGAAAAGCAGATAGTAGACCCCAGAACCTCATTGCTGATACAGTGGTACCTCGGGTTACATACGCTTCAGGTTACAGACTCCGCTAACCCAGAAATAGTACCTCGGGTTAAGAACTTTGCTTCAGGGTGAGAACAGAAATCGTGCTCTGGCGGCGCGGTGGCAGCAGGAGGCCCCATTAGCTAAAGTGGTGCTTCAGGTTAAGAACAGTTTCAGGTTAAGAACGGACCTCCGGAACGAATTAAGTACTTAATCCGAGGTACCACTGTACAGGCATACAGTGTGTTGGAAAGGGGAAACTTGAGGGTCTCCCCATTCTGGAGCAGAGGGGAAATCTTCAGAAGGGCTTATAGCGTCACTATAGGGAGGGTAAGGTTTCTCCCAAAACTATCAGCATAAGAAGCATGATTTAGGATGCTCTCTCCAGATCTGAGATTTGCGGGGGGGGGTGGAGAGAGGAGGGTCTCAATATTTATTTATATCCTCCCTTTCCTCCCAAGGAACTCAAGGCGGTCTCCGCAAATCTCATCTCCCCCCGCCCTCTGTTTCATCCTCACAAAACAGCCCTGCGAGTTAGGCTGGTCTGGCAGAGCCTGTGACTAGTCCAAGGTCGCCCAGTGATCTTCATGGCGGGAGGGGATCAGGATCCGAACCCCCGTTGGCCGGCGTTGCCTCTAACAACTACACCACTCTGTTACCTGGCCGGCCACTGGGAGGGATCAGGATCCTGGTCCAGGTGAGCTTGGGGGGATTCGGGTGCCTCTAACCACTACACCACTCTGTTACCTGGCTGGCTTAGGATCCTGGTCCAGGTGGGCTTGGGGGGATTCGGGTGCGTGCAGGTGAAGGGAAATGCGTCCACCTTACCTGAGCGCTTTCAGGGCACCGGCAGGTGGCGATGACGACTTCTGGGCAGGGGGAGGCAGCCAGGAACCCCTCGACCAAGCCCAGGCCGATGCCCCGGTTGGCGCCGGTGATGAGCACGGAACGGCAGAGCGCTTGATCCATCGCAGCGCGCAGGGAGCCTCCACTTTTGGGAGCGCCGAGGAGGTTTTTTTTAAAAGCAGGGCCACGCCCTCTCCCGCGAGGCCCCGCCCCAAACCCCGCCCCTCCGAATCTTGACGCCGTTCGGTGAGCCAGGCGAGAAGAGGCTGTTGTTTATTTACTTATTGATGCGACAAAAAAGTCTCCCCGCTTCCGCCTCCTGATCAAAAGGGAGTCCTAAAAAAAAAGGATCCCACGTGAGCTCTGGTTGATGCAAGTGTCCAAGTGTCCCTATTTCCCCTGATTTAGAGAATCCCTGATTTCTGATCTGATTCCAGATTGTCCCGCTTTTCCATAGGATGTCCCTCTTTTCAATGGAGAAATGTTGGAAGGTATGGAGTCATCCAGTGCTTTTTTCTGGCGGCACGCATACCCCTAAACATTTTTTGAATCTAAGTTTGGCCTCATTGAGAGGCAGTATTTCAATATGAGTAGGAAAATGAGAGTACCGCTAAACATTTTTTAAAGAAAAAAAAGCACTGGAGTTATCTGACCCCCAAGCCATCAGAAGGCAATCCTGTGTATAGGGAAGTTTTATTCATGTTTCATTGTGTTTTTATATATGTTGGAAGCTGCTCAGAGTGGCTGGGGCAACCCAGCAAGATGTGTGGGGTATAAATAGTAAAATTATCATTATGCAATGGGACATCCCTATTTTCATGGGAGAAATGTTGGAGGGTATGGCGTGTGTCCAAAAATATAAACACCACCAACCCCCTTCTGAGATATTCATTTTTTTAATCATCGTTCCGTGCAATGTGATTGTAAAACAAGCAAACCTCAAAACAGTTTACAAAAAGAACAGTGAAAAATTATCGGGGGAAAGAAGTTTTCAAGTATTTGAAATTGAAATCAGCAGGGTGCTCTCAAGCTGGGGGGCACATGGGGCAGGGGGAAGCAAGTCCTTCCTCTGACAGCACTTAGCGGCTTTCATTGAACCACTGCTAAAGTTAAGCTTCCCCCCACACTCAGAACCCAACTCATCCTTGAGATATATGTCGATATCGATATCCATATTAATATTAATATTGATACATAGATACAGATATAGACATATAAAGATATTAAAGATATTTTAAAAGTTGATATTGAGTTTTGTACAGTGAACGCTCGGGTTGCAAACGTGATTCGTGCAGGATGCACGTTTGCAACCCGCGTCTGTGCACGCGCGGGTTGTGATTCGTCGCTTCTGCGCATGCGCGACCGCCGAAACCCGGAAGTAACCCGTTCCGGTACTTCTGGGTTTCGGCGGTCCGCAACCTGAAAAAACGCAACCTGAAGTGTCTGTAACCCGAGGTATGACTGTACTTTGCTTTATACTCTCCCCTTTTTGTAAAAATCCAACTCAGCATTGCCAAAAAAAAATGACTGTCCTCACTCAGCACGGTTCGCAAACAGTGACCCACCCATGGGAAAGGGCGGCTGGCAGGCAATGCCAAACACCTTGCCAACTCTGAAAGGTCTTGGCCCATAAAGATAACAATTGGCAGGTGTCACCATGGCTCTCTATAGCTGCAGATCTGTGCTTATCCACCCAAGTGCAAACCCAGGATCAATGAAACAGGGAACCTGCCAGAGCATAGTCCCTCTTGGCATGGCAACTGTGGCAGATCCCCAGAATTCCCCCTAGCCCCAGAGTCTGTTCAGCAGCCTCAGCCTAGGGCAGATCTGCATGTAGTAAGTTCTAGGTTCGACCCCTGGCATGCTCTGGGTAAAGGTAAAGGGACCCCTGACCATTAGGTCCAGTCGTGACCGACTCTGGGGTTGCGGAGCTCATCTCGCTTTATTGGCTGAGGGAGCCAGCGTACAGCTTCCGAGTCATGTGGCCAGCATGACTAAGTCGCTTCTGGCGAACAAGAGCAGTGCACGGAAACACCGTTTACCTTCCAGCCGGAGTGGTACCTATTTATCTACTTGCACTTTGAGGTGCTTTTGAACTGCTAGGTTGGCAGGAGCAGGGACCGAGCAACGGGAGCTCACTCTGTCACGGGGATTTGAACCACCGACCTTCTGATAGGCAAGTCCTAGGGTCTGTGGTTTACAGCGCCACCTGCCACCCAGCTCTGGAAGAGACGACTAAAACCCCAGAGAGCCACTGCCAGTCAGTGTAGGCATTACTGAGCTTGATGGGCTAACTCTGACTCGGTATAAGGCAGCTTCCTATGTTCCTATTATATGTTATTGTTATTTATTGAATTTGTAGACCCCCGCGGGTCTCAGGATGGTTGCAACATGAAATCACAGTACAGAAACACAAAATACATAACCAAAACAAAAACAAAGCAACCCAATAACACCCCCCAAACACATTTTAAAAGGGCACTGGATGTCAATCAGCCAAAGGCCTGGTTAAAGAGGAATGTTTTCTCCGGTGAGCAACCTGGCCACTGAATTCTGTACCAGCTGAAGTTTCCGAACCATCTTCAGAGGCAGCCCTACGTATAACGCATTGCAGGAATCTAAGCTTGAGGTTACCAGAGCAAAGATAACAGTCGTTAAGCTATCCCTGTCCTGTGGCTGGGACTGTGGGGAGCTGAAGTCCAAAATACCTGTTGGGCAGCAGGTTGGCCAAGGCTGAGGGTGGGGGAACCTTTACCCTCCAGATGTTGCTGAAGTGCAACTCCCATCAGCCCTTGCAAGCAGGCCCAATGGCCGGGGATGATGGGAGTCGTAGTTCAGCCACATCTGAAGGTCCACTATTTCCTCACACCAAAGCTAGAGCCTACATAACAACGGAAACCCCGGCCTTCCCCACGTCGTCGGGCTGTTTTGGTGACAGCTTTTGCCGCCTTGCCAATCGGAGCATTCATTAATGGCTTAAAACGCCTTTGGATCTGTTCTTTGCTTAATCCTGGCTGTCAGCACATCAGTCAAGCTCTCTGGTGCCAGACGCTCTGGCATTCTTCAAAAGTCTGTTGACACAACAGGAGCTGTTCAGGGATGCCAGCTGTTGGAGAGTGTTGCGTGCTCACACATGTTGTGTGTGCTTGAGCTCAATCCGGACAGCAAAACCAACAACGGGGAGCACGGCGGACCTGTGATTTGAGGGAGAGGCCTTTCCTGCACAAGGGATCCTCTCCCAAAGAAACAAGGACTGCAAGGGTATCCAGAGGGCATTTCTCCTGCTTGGGCAAGCGCTAGACCTCTCACTGCAGGGATAAGTATCCAGTGAGACCCCTCTGAGGAAGACCAGTACTGGATACAACCCAGTATGCGGGTGGTGATGTGTCTAAACCACTGAGCCTCTTGGGCTTACCAATCAGAAGGTCAGCGGTTCAAATCCCCATGACGGAGTGAGCTCCAATTGCTCTGCCCCAGCTCCTGCCAACCTAGCAGTTCAAAAGCACGCCAGTGCAAGTAGATAAATAGGTACCGCTGCATCGGGAAGGTAAGCGGTGTTTCTGTCACAATGTCCTGTTGCGCCAGAAACGGTTCAGTCATGCCAGCCACATGACCCAGAAAGCTGTCTGTGGACAAACGCCGGCTCCCTTGGCCTGAAAGCAAGATGAGCCCCCAACCCCATAGTCGCCTTTGAATGGACTTAACTGTCTTTACCACACACACACACACACACACACACACACACACACTATAAAGTTAAAGCAACAAGTCTAAGAGTTGATCCACAATAAATTCAGAGTGGTTTAGCAGTCCATTCATCACAGGGAACTCTGCAAATTGTAGCTCTGTGAGGAAAGGGTGTAGGTTTCCTCATGTCTCTCAGTACCCTTAACAAACTACCCTTCCCAAAAGGGCTGGATCACCCAATAGACATACTAAGGACATGCCTAGGGCAACTGCAGGGGCACCCACACAAATGTGAGATAATTGGGTTTTTTTAAAAAAAGAATTTGATATTTGAATTTTTTAAAATTAAAAAAATCCCCTAAACTAGTCATCATTGGAATAATCAGAATTTTGTTAGATTTCCTCACACTTCACTACAAACTGTTCCCCAATTTTCATGTTCCCTATTACTCATCCCCACACGATGAGTGGGGGGCGCCCCACTAACGTAGGCCGAAGTCATGCAAGAAAATTGGATCCTCTCACGTATTGCATCAACATCCAAAAAACCAAAGTGCTGCACCAACAAGTACAAAATAACCCCCTGCAGCGCCACAAATCCAACTCAATGGTGTAACGTTGGAAAACGTTGATCACTTCTCCTACCTAGGCAGTTATCTTTCCACAAGGGCCAACATTGATGCCGAAATCCAGCATCGCCTGAGCACTGCAAGTGTGGCTTTCTCCCGATTGAAGTGCAGAGTGTTTGAGGACTGGGACATTCGCAGGGAAACCAAAATGCCTCTTTACAAAGCTATTGTACTACCAACCTCACTATATGCTTGTGAAACATGGACCACTTATAAACACCATCTCCAACTCCTCGAAATAGTCCATCAACGGTGTCTCCGAAAAATTTTACACATCACTTGGGAAGACAAGAGAACTAATATCAGTTATTATAAAGAAGCAAGATCACCAGTGTCAAAGCAATGATTTTTCAACATCAACTTGTTGGACTGGTCATGTTGTGCGGGTGCCTGATGATCGTCTTCCAAGCCAAGTTCGTATTCCGAACTTAAAATAAAAGCGTAATGCCTGTGTGGTCAAACAAAAGAGGTTAAAGACTGTCTCAAGGCAAAATCTTTTAAATAAGTAGTTATAAAACACTGACAACTGAAACACTGACCTGGCAGTGCTCAGTGGAGAACAGTTTTTACCAAAGGTGTCATGGCTTTGAACAAAAAAAAAAAAAAATCCTTCCAGTAGCACCTTAAGACCAACTAAGTTAGTTCTTGGTATGAGCTTTCGTGTGCATGCACACTTCTTCAGGATATCTGAAGGTATCTGAAGAAGTGTGCATGCACACGAAAGTCATACCAAGAACTAACTTAGTTTGGTTCTTTAAGGTGCTACTGGAAGGATTTTTCTTTTTTGTTTTGGACTATGGCAGACCAACACGGCTACCTATCTGTAAATGGGCTTTGAAGACACTCAAACTC